CACACTTCTTTATTCTCTAAGTATTAGTGAATTCAATAGAGTATCCATGTGTGAAACTACTAAACAAATTTGGGATACCTTAGAAACAACCTATGAGGGAATAAATCAGGTTAAGGAATCCAAGATAGGACTTCTCACACATGATTATGAGTTATTTAGGATGGAAGAAAATGAGACTATAAATAAAATGTATAAGAGATTCACAAACATAGTCAGAGGATTGAAAGGATTAGGAAAAGACTTCCCAAATGCTCAATTAGTCAAAAAATACTTTATAGTCTCCCTAAGTCACAGAGACCAAAAGTAACAACCATAAAGGAAGTAAGAAACCTAAATCATTTCAAACTAGAAGAACTTGTAGGATTTCTCCTTACCTATGAGATGACAATAAAACATGAAAATGCTCTAGATGATGAAAAGAAGGAGGACAATCAAAAGAAAGGAATAGTTTTAAAATCTAAAATTGAAGAGGATGAGAAAAACATAAGAGATGATAGTCAGGAAGATGAGGACATAGCCATGTTATCAAAGTGGTTTAGCAAATTTATGAGAAAGAACTATAGAGGTAGAAGACTTCTTAGAAAGACTTACTAAAAAAGGAACATAACAAAGACCACTTAATATGTTATGAGTACAGAAAAACAAGACACACTAAATATGAATGTCCAAATAAGAAAAGTGCCACAAAGAACTTTAAGAAGAAAGCAATAGTGGCCACTTAGAGCAATAGTGACGACTCTTAAGATGAAGAAGATGAAGTTACCAATCTTTGCTTCATGGCACTTAAGGATTCCAAGGTATGCTCTACTTCTCATGATTCAAATTCAAACACCTTGGATCAAGACTCATACTGGTAACGACCTTCTTCCTGATCGTTATTGACATCCAAGACTTACGGAAGAACCTGCCAAATCCCGAACAAGCCTTCACAATTATCATTTTGTTAAACCATAACACGTCCGTCGGAAGTCTCATAATCATCATAATTTCATTAATAGCAAATATTCTCTCTGTGCATTATGTTTCATCATCATATAAATATATGTTTACATTCTGTACAACTGTTTACTTCTATAATAAAATATACTGTAAATGAACTGACCTCTAACAACGGAGTGACTCAAAATAGGGTACTAGGAGATGCCTTTACTTATATTACAATGGACCATAATATGCCGATGGCTTATCACGTTTTTGAAAAATAAGAATATTGGGGTGAGTCTCACAAACTCAGTGTTCATCGGCTCAGTGAGCAAGGCGAAAATGGGAAAAAAGCCAAAGATAGAAAATTTGGATATTAAAAACATATGAATATATAAACCATTTAAAAGCAAATGGAACGTTTGTGCCTTACATATAAAATCAAGAATTTTAATGGAAAGTAATCATTTAACAATCATTGTATCACAGCCAGTGTGAGTGAAAGATTTCTATCATCGAAATCATTTAATGTCCTTTACTTAAAATTTGACTAACATAAGCATGCACGCTCCCATCAAATCGAACATTATTAAAGCTTATACACAAGCTTATAAATCACCTCATCCTTAAGGTATTAAACACAATGTCATCAATTGAAGATCAATATATAAAGCACTGAAAGCTTTTAATCAAATAGGGGAGTTGCGGAAAAACTTGTAATTCTCACCATGCTAAAGAATAAATGTTTGAAAACCCAAAGAGATATCACTTTCGATTAGGTAATCGTAAATATCAACCCGTGGACCCGTTTCCACGTAATAACATCCAAGAGGCCCTCGTCTGCTGAATTCCCATAACCATGGTAGTCTTGATGATGGTGGCTAATATCAGAGAAATCATGTGGTTGCAACCACGTATATCAACTTGTGGCCTAGCCACAAATATCATCCTGTGGCCTTGCCACGTATATAAATCACAAACTGTGGCCTGGCCATGTCTACTAGCTCGTTGGTGACCCAAAAGTTCTCTATCTAGAGCTCACTTGTGCATAAGGGACACATTATCCCAATGTGACATTCGGCCTACTCTCGAATCTCCCGATTTGATAAAATCATTTAAAAGTGATTTTGGTTGTCAAAAGCTTATTTGAAAACCATTTCCAAGATACCAATCGTGGTAACATGAGAAATCCATTTGTAAGACTTTATAAAGTAAAACTTTTGCATGAGGTTTAAATGTCAAATCACCACGGTGAACATAAACTTTATTCATGAATGCATATTGCACAAACATATAAGGCATATTTTGACATAAACTGTGGTAAAGAGCTTGTTTCCTGATTTCTAAAACCTTTAACATATATAGCTTATATATATATTCAAAATAATTTCAAAAATCATGACATCTATAATTGTCTAGCATTTCTACCAGCTCATGCTTTCCACAATAAAGTTTATAAATCTTTCACGAATAGGTATTTAAAACTACTTATCGTTTTCTAGCATATCATGCTTTCCACAATAACATTGAATAATTCATAGTTAAATAGTAGTATATGAAACATCTTTCTATATATTACTGAACCTTTTTAAAATAGACACCCCTGGCTCACCTCACAATAGCAAGATGTTATTTCGCCATTGATTCGGGTGCATCTCTCACTAATTTTACTTACTGGTCACCCATCACCTCCTCCGGTACACCACCACTATAATTATTCTTTAATTATCAATTTCCTGGCCGCAATTAAACTCAAGATACTTAACGACTTTACGATTTGTTCTACCTCACTTTTGCTGCCCTCACTAGTTTAATGCTTTTACGGTTATCCTTTGTTCTCTAGTCTTATTCAAGAACTACTCATTATTTTAGTAATTCAATTCTTGCTATAGTCATCCTTATTTCAAAGTTAATCTCATGTTCACACATATTTATATATGGTAGCAACTTTACCAAAGAAATCTTAACTCTTTACATGCATAATCTTTTATCCTTTACTTGCTTCAAAACATTACATTCTCACAACATCAAATCTCACAACTAGCATAAGCATTCTTCCTAACCCATAATCATATAACATGAACAATCATGGAATAGGCCACAATTTGTCTTACCTTTTTCAATAATTTAACTTGAGCTAAAACCAAGAAATCTCAAGCTCCTTGGCAGTGTAATCTTACATTCCTTGCGAATCGCCAACATGCATGGGTTTCTTGGCACCCACACAGTATTCTTTTTGCTACCACAAACATAAATAATCAACACACGTCTTATTTTTCCTTTCCATGAGTGATCTCAAATTAAAAGTACTTACCCATCATTTGTTTTGCTTTAAATCACCATACTTTTAAGATCAACCCACATGTATGCACCTAGTTCTTTGAGATCCTTAACGATCCTTGCTACCACAAGCATAATCTCACATTACAATCGGTTTACAAAGCATGTATTCAAACAAAATGACAACTTTTACCTTCCTTTCCTTGGAATCACTAAGCTAAACCACCAATATATTCTTTAAGCTCCAACAATGGTCTATGGGAGGAAACCCTCTCGATTTCTCTCCAAGTCCTCCAAAATCGAACCTTCTTTTTTTTTTTCTTCTTTGTGGTTTCTAGTCCTTTTCTTTGATATTTCTTAGCTACCATGAAATCTAACCCATATCTCTCAATAAAGGATGAATTTCAAAGAGTAATGAAGCTTTGTGGCAAGAGAATAATGAGAAATAGAGAGAAAGTGCTCACAGGTGTACTAAAGGAAAGTGAAAATGCTAAGATGTTTTTCTTCTTCTTCATGGGTGGGGGCTCCCAAAGCCATTTTCTCTTCATTTCTCTTCCAAATGGGGTGGATCTCTCAAGGCAAAAGCCTTGAAATGGCTTTCATTTCTCATTTTCTCATACATGGGCGGATTACCCAAAGTTGCTTCTTTTTTTTTCTTTTTCTTTTTACTCATATGTCATGCAATGCAATTCCTTACTTTGTTATTAACACCACCTTCCACTGGTGGCTTGTGCATGCAATGTTTCCTTATCTATTCTTTTATCCTTTGGTTAGATTGCCTTGCCCATGCATTGGTTCACATGGCATTCTTTTTTTTTTTTTGGTTTATTTCATTTGCATTTCATTTCATATGCATTTCCTTTTAATGCCATCTTATCACCCAATAATATTTCATGCAAATTTCTTTTGCCAATAACCTTTGCCATCCCATGAACTAATAAGACTTCATGCATTTTTCCATTCTTGAATCCTATTCAGCCTTCTTCAAACCAATAGGATTTCTTGCAACAAAATTTATTCTTTCTTTTTCTTATTAAATCAAATCAAGTGTAATGATTACACCTTTTTCTTTAAATACCATGGGCTATCTTTACGAAACCATGGTTTCCCTTGCCATTTCATTTTATTTGCATCCTACTTGAATTTCATCTTGGTTTCCATAATACAAATATTTATACATTAAATATTCACTTAGCTTAAAATGGAGAAATTACACATAAGTCCTCCTTCAACTTTTTTTTATCTACCATTTAACCTTCCAAACTTTTCTTCCTTTATAATTTGGTCCTTTAAACCTTTTATAAATGGCAAAAAAAACCTTTAATTTTTGATAACTACAACTTCATCCCTTAACTTTTTATTATTTACAATTCCACCCTTCAACTTCGTATTCTTTTTAATTAGGTCTTCCCATCATTCCTTTATTTCAATTCTCTTCTATTTTTCTTCCTCTACACTTGTACAAAAAAAAATCAAATTCATACTCCACCAAGATGTCACCACAATATTTAAATATATACTTACTCTTTCTCACTTAATTTAATAAAGGCACGCGAGCCCCAATAAAGCTTCCTTTCTTCGAAATTTTTCTTGCTTCCATTCCCCTACTTAGACAGATGTACAAATCACACATTCTTCATGTTGTTACGACTGCTCCTCGATTGCTATCGACGTCCGAGTCTCGCAGGAAATCACGCCAAGTCTCGAACAAGCCTTACTTAAAACATTAGTCATTATCTCATTTTCATACCATTAATCTATAAAATTATTTCGATCCATAAAACTCTTTGTAAAGAGAATTGAACAATGATCTTTATAAATTGAATAAACCTTTATTCCACATAATCGTAAAAGATAATACATCGAAAATTATAATCCCCAAATGTACATTTGCATTGACACAATTGCCTAATTTCATAACAATTTACATTATGACAACTCAACCTTTAACAACGGAGCGACTCGGAATAAAGTGCTATGACATGCCTTTACCTATCCGTGGTGGATTGAAATTGCTGATGACTGCATGCTAAGCTGATCACTATCTGCAAAAAGAAAGTAAGGGGGGTGAGTCTCACAGACTCAGTGATCATCAGCTCCATGAGCAGGGTGTAGATGGGAAACAAGTGTAAGGCAGATAAGTTGAATAATAAAATCGAAATATCAAATCATAGTCTTGAGAAACCAAATCGTAAGCAAAATATTTATGCTTTGTAAAAATAATGACGTAAATCATAATAATATTTTCACTTGGCAAAATGGTGCCAAAACAATGTAACGAAACCAAGTTCAAACATCGAAAACATTGTTTGCCATACAAATATGGTCAACGATATAAAGTATGCACGCTCCCAAATTATGTGGCATGTAAAGAAATCAAGTGTATGGACACGTAAAACATCTCATGTTCATCA